AAGGCCGAGCTAAGTTAGGTAGCTTTCCTGCTAAGTGTCATGGCAAAAAAAACGTACTTGAATCGTCCAACATGGAAGCTAGTAAAGTTCCACAGCTGGAACAACTGTAGAGATAGAACAGCTAGCAGACAATTCAAGCTGAAAATCATTTGTGAGTGAAATAGCAGATAATGTCAACATGAGCACTAACCGAACATATGTTGTGTTGTAATTACCACTGGCTATATCTATGTAAGCCGTCTCTGACTGGCGCAGACCATACCAGAATGTCATCACCGTCAATACTGATGACGCCAAGCGAACTACAAGAAAGACGATATTCCATAGTGTAAACCTGAAAACATTAGCAATTCTCTGTGCATTTCTCCTAAATTGTTATGTTGCCTTGACTGCATAACATCACATCTAGATACGGCAATGTGACAAATGTATGCAAGAAAATAGCGGTAACGGCAACAAAGTTTTTGGACATGCGTTCCGAAAATTCATTGAGGTCAGAATAAAACACAGAATAATTGAATAGAAGATCCACACAATTGCTCCTTTTAATGAGTGACAGGAGTTGGTAAAATGGAATTGAATGGAAAAAAATTACCCATTCTTGGCGATCTCTTTCTTCTCGAGGAAATGAATGAGGCGCGAGAAATGGAAAATTGTCTGCGAAGCATATTCAAGAGCCAGAAGTACAACGGCGAATCGCATGAAACTAAAACAGCGTTGATATTACGCGAATAACACATAGCTCAAAGGTTGAAAGCCTTACTTCATGACGTAAGCAGCGCCGATGAAACAGATATGTAAAAGCGAAAGAATTGTCCTTTGTCGCATCTCATCTGACTTCATTTTTTGGAAGTAAAATTCCGGAAACTGATGAACCCAGTAAGATATCTGTAAAAACGTTTTTTTTTTCTTTTACATAGACAGAGCATTACTGGATGACACAGTCAATGCGGATACCTGCAGAATAGCGAAAATCTTCATATTAAGATTCATCCACCTATGCTCTTCAGGATAACCCAGCCAGATTCTGTAGTGATTAGCATGACAAAAGCAAAGACGAAATATCGTTATACCTTTTCACATCAGTATAATTTTGCATAAAATCTGAGATAACGTATGCCGCATGACAAGCAGAATATAAAGCAAATAGGGACATGTGTCCGGATTCAGTAAATTTGAAGGTTTTCACTTTGGATAGCCGAGCCTGAAAGATTTTTAGGACTAATGAGAAAAGGCTGAGACCAAATCTAGTCGAGAGCCCACCCTTCTTTGCAGCTTGTCCAAAATATATTCCTGGATAACGGCATGCACAACTATCCAAGCAACGGCGTAGAAGAGAATGGTGAGAACGTCTGCCGGACCATTTCGGTACAAGGTCAGACTCATGGGCCCTGGAATCTTATGGAGACTAAACACTTGAAAAAGAAACTGAAGAGATATATTACCAAGTTCTGAGGTCACATTTACGGTCTCATTGTATTGTGGGGCAACGAATACCGAACACATAGAGGCTGTGAGCTGCAAGATAACTATTTGTTGACAGTAAAAAACAAGAAGCCCTCAATTAAGCTTGTTCAAGCAGCTTCCCAACAAGTAAATATAAGAGACGAAAATCAATGGCAAGGCCTAGCTAACGCTGAACGGCAAGCAGAATGCTTTTCTGTCCCTGCCTTTCCATCAATTGATTAACTAGTGCCTCACCATCGAGGTGGTGGTGCATTTACTCTAATTTCTGACCGTGACAGCAACATTCTTAGGGATTCTGCGTAGCTTTTCGTCTTGTCGACTTACAAGCTCTTGCAAAAATCACAGGAGCAAAATCCTACTTCGCAATGAAAGTGTTTCTGAAAAGCACAATCGGCAAAATATTTTTGAAAGCTTCAAATAAGAGTTAAAACAGCATTCACGTTGTCGTACATGCGCAAGATTTTTCTCAACTATCGCCGCGCATACTTGT